AGAGGAAGGGAAAATATGAGTATAAAAGAGAGAGAGAGAGAGAGAGAGAAAAAAAAGTGCTTGTGTTGATGGGAATTTAACGATTCTCTTTGATGTCGAGATTCGAAATACAAAGGAGAGTTTTGCTGTCGCGTCTAAACTTGCAATAAAGCAGCCGAATTATAGAATTTATAGAGAAAAAATCGCCTGCAAATGTTATTTACACACACACATGCACTTTTTCTCCCTTTTTCTCTCTCTCTCTCTCTTTCTCTCTCTCTCACGCACGCATGCACGCCCATACCACACACGCACAACACACAACTAAATTTAATTCAATTTTAAAACATCTAACTTACAATTTTAATTATTAAAAAACTCTTAGCCAAATCAAAAATCTTTCACTGCTCTATATTTAGGCATATAAAAAAAAGCAAATCTCGCTAAAAGTTGGAATCGTTATAAATATAAAAGCGACGTCTTCGTTATCTGATACGTTTTTTTTTCGGATGTTGAATCCTGATAATATCAATATGTGTGCTGTTTCTTTTACTTTAAAAACCTTTCTCTTTGGACACTCGACTACTTTTTTTTTTTTATAAGTCAATCAATATTGATCAATGCCATTCAATATTGATTGCGTAAGTACAAATTTCAAATATCCAATAAAGCAAAATCGATTGCTCTTTAATCAAGCATACAGACATTTCAATAAATAATGATACACTTATATGATACACAGACGCATTGCTTTGATACTTGGGTTTTTAATTTAATGAAAGCAAAATAAGATTATAATTATTGAAACCGACTGATAACTTAGCAAAGCTGATGCAATCGTGCACAATATCACATTTTATTTACTTTCTTTGAAAAAATACTTCGTATAACAAACTATGTATCTCGTTGGAGTATCTTTTAAAGGCAAGAAATTAAAGTTAATCGAATGCATTTTAAAGCACTGCCACGCTTTATCTTGTATTTCGTACGGTGCAAAAAAGTTGCATCAAAGTTGCACACAAAGAGTTTGAGATTCTCAGTGAAAATATAAACGATATGAATCGAATGAGAGTCTGTTGATGTTAAATGTATTTCGCCACTCTCCGAACTGCAAGTCGAATATAAATAAAAACCATGATATCGTACGCGCGGACATATCTATATATATATAAATGTTTATAGCAACAGAATATCTTTTCTATTCAGAGTGACGAGTATCTTTTTGAATAATTTTATTTTTCGTCAATCTCTCAAATGTGATTAGCTTAATTTTAACTGATTTATCGCGACGTAATTATTTAAAAATATGGTAGAATCGCATATATACATTACGTACAAACAAAAACTGTTTTTTTTCCTCCGTTTTCGTTTTTATATCGATAAAAATAACCATTTATTTCCAAATTTATCGCAATAAATCATTAATTTTCACTTGTTTTTAACACGTCTTTGATACTGTAAATTTATAAATATATTTACAAAAAAAGAAAACTCTCACTCTCTCTACACACTGAGAGTAAAAAAAAAAGTTTAACCAAAAAATATTCAGTTCAAAGCAATGTGATATTTGAGCTTCGTGTGTCTGGAAAGTTTCAGTGCATCAAGTTTTTCTGCGACTATCAAATTTACGTACAAGTCTGGTCTAGTAGGAACCGTATCTAAACTAACGCAGAAATCACATACGAAGATCAATTGTACGATAATTCAAATTTGAATAATTTTTCATCATCGTGATGGCAGTAAAACGTGTTACTATTGTCATTATTTTTCTTTTCTACACGATGCTGGTATTATTTCGATGTACAAGACTTTTTCCTCCGTATGCGATTTCGGGCGACAAATAATGATAGCGAAGGGAGAAATGTTTCTGAGAAAGGAAAGAAGCTTTATCCGTCCATCTTCTCGGTATTAAAAATCCATTGTCCTGCGCACGTATGTGCGGAGTACGCGTGCAAACTGAAGGCGAAAGAGTAATATTATCAACTACTACTTTGTGTGTACTGTATTCGCTAAAAGCGAACATATCCTTTTCTCGAGAGAAACTCGAGAAAGATAACTTAATATCCTATCGAACAGTTTATCTTACGTATCAGCATATTTTACAAACCGCCTTGCAAACTGGACGTTCCGAATTTGCACCGAATTTGAAATCATCGCGAACAAACAATAATCGTCGCCCTTTAAAGATGGCCGAGGGATTAGTTTTGCATTCCTTTTTATAAAAAGGAAAAGAATATCGTTAATATACCTGTATCCCCTTTCGGTTACGTAGAACGGATCGTTGCTCGACACCGCGAGGATTTATTTAATTTAATTAAGTAGAAGAATGTGTGTGTTGTATGTGTGTGTGTGTGTGTGTGTGTATGTGATTAAGTAGAAGTGAGAACATGAAGCTAATAATCACAGCTATTGTACTGTACTATAAGTGTTTACGCATCACGAGAAACGAGATAGTAGTTAACAATGTTTAATGATACAAAAAAATACAACTAAAGGAGCAATCCTCCGCAAGCAACTCTCTTCATGTAAAAGCGGTGAGTATACTCGCGTGGACACCGGTCAAACAATACAAAAAGGTATATACATATACGTGTATGTGTACAGTTTTAAAATTTGTCCTACGTGAATGCCTCTCTTTCGGATTTGATTCTCCGATGGGCATTGCTTAAACTAACGTTTTCTTATAAAATAAGTAAATTGGGAACGATACTGTGCAGCCTTTGTTTATTTCAATAGAAACATTGGCTTATGTTTACGTATTTCTCAAACTCGTTGCTAAGAGACTGCGAAAGTGAGTAACGAGAGAAGAGGGAGAAATATGAAAGTGAATATATCTGAAAAAAAATATATGAAAAGTGAAAGGACGATTCTCGCACGACAAAAACTATGCAAGGCATTGTTAAAAGAATCGTCGGAAATATACAATGTCGCATAGCACGATCTTTTCGTATAAATATTCTAACATATTAGATAGTTGCGAAATTGCACAACACAGTCGCGAGATACAATTTTCACCTTACAAAATTTTAGCCCCACTTTAGGACCTGTGAGATATTCGATATTGCACGCTTCGTACAATGGTGTGTGTATGTGTGTATATATTTATTGTATGTGTAATATATATATATATATATATATATATATATAGAATTTTACACATATAACACATACACACACACACACACACACACGTCCATACATATATATATATATATATATTATTTACCTAATGCGATTATACATGTATTTATAATACATAAATCGCACATTCTCCTACACCGGTTTTGTAAAACTTACAATTATGTTTTTTCGTTTCGTATAGTGCAAAGATAATTATCGGAGTGCGGAAAGAGAAAGCTGAACGTTGGCTGAGGGACTGGCTTTCGTCTTCCCGCATCATACATCTAATATTGAAGTTAAACAATATCTTTCTCTCTCTCTCTTTCTGTATTTCATTCTATTGGTCTGCCTATCAAATTATTGAAAAAGAGAATCGTCGACGGCATTCACATCCCATTGTTTTCTCATTTATGGAAAAAGAAAAGTCAAAGAATGCAACTATCGTTACGCTTCACAGCTAACCACAGCATTCGGCAAATATGTTTCACTCGTTTAAAAATTACTTATATCACAATAAAAAACGCCGGCGCATCCTTCCATCTCATTTCATGTTTATCCAACTTGCACATACCTCTTTCATCGTGGATCATCACCCTAATGTTTATCGATATTAAGGATGCGTCTAGAGGCTCTGGCAGGTTTTAGCCGAGGTTTCCGGATGGTTGCGGAGACGTAAGTTCGGGATTTGCATTCCGGGTAACTGGTCTTGCAACAAACGCGACCTGCCGAAGCAAATCCTCGATCACAGCGCTTGTACTAGGCAAGAATCAAAGGATTCTCGACATTTAGTCTGAAATTACAGTAAAATTACGGTAGTTGACTCTTCGACATTGAACCCGACGAACTCGTTTCATCTGCCAGTGCGCGTACGTCTCGGGGTTTAGCGCGCACTCTGTAAAATTTCGTGCCACGTGGGACATGGTACCGATTCTCATGCTGAAAATAAAGCAACAAGACAATATTTTATTTCTTATTATAACAATTATACTGTTCCATATTATGATATAGCTATAAACTCATCATTAATTAATTAATAGCAATCTTACCTTTCTCGCGTGACAATATTCCTTATCGATCACTTCAGCAAGAACGCATTTCCGAGAACCGCTCGAGTTCATCCCTATCTCCAATGCGTCTACGTAGTCCGAATGAAGGAAATAAAGAGTCGAGGATTCCTGATACACTGCATAATTGCCGTGTACAGTGTCCCAGACTATGAGTACCACGTCACCTGGATTGCAACTGGTGATGGTGACGATCCCCTGTTGCACCATCTTGGCCACTTTTTCCGCGACCTTCTTATGTATATACGAGGGAAGGGAAGGGTGGAAGCATATGGATTTGGAAGATGATCGTCGACTCGGTTCTGGACTGGTGGCCGCATCTCGACTTGAACTAGAGTCTGAAACTACCGCGACCGATGCATTCATGTCTCTATCACGGTTTTCAGAGGGTAGCAATGACGAGTCGATACCAAATACCCTCTTGGTTCGTTCCTTCAGTAATTCGATTTCTAAACGAATTTTATCCGTCATTAACGCTTCTACCTTCGCTTCGGCCACCACTTTACTCGCACGTATTGAATTCAACTCGCAGGACAGTCTCTTGTTGTCGTTCTCGAGAATTTCAAGTCGCCTAGATAGCCGAGTCAGATCATCATCATCAGCCTCTAATCGCACTTTCTTTGATTCCGAGACCTCAACTTCGTACTTCTCGGATTCTAGATTCTTGAAAACTTTCTCCAGATCGACTTGACTGCCATCCAATCGATCGTAAGTTAAATCCTTGCATGCTTCAGATTCTAAAGAGTAGAGAGAATCTTTGCTTTGTTCCATGATTGTTCGCATTGTCTTCAATGCAGCCTCATTATGCTCAAGCCACGTTTTGTCTGTTTCAAGATGTTTCACCTATGTTTTCACAGACAACAGATATCATAAAATAAATAAATGAATAAAGATATAATCAATCTAAAAGTATGCAACATAATTTGAAATTAGTGTTGAAAAACTTGAATATATTCCACTCATGGAAAATAGATAAATGTACAAACATGCAATAAAGATCTGTAAATTAATCTTGTCGATATTTTAATCTGGAAATGCCAAGCACTATGCCAAAACTATCAATGAGAAAAATAAATATTACAAATTAACTTGCGTCTCATAATATAGTTTGAATAAAATAAATATCCAGTATTGTTCTGTCACAGGATTGCAAATCTGTTGCGTATATATTAATGAATACTTTTTGTTGTATCTTTACTGAGTAGTATCATATGTTTTTTTATATTCTTCAACACTTTTTTAGAATTACGCTTGATGCATGTGTAGATTACAGTTTGGTACAATACCTTCTCCTTCATCGTTTGCTGTATCTCTGATTTCAATCCAAATTCTCCAATTAATCGATCTATCATATTCTTGTAACGTTTGCCCTGTTCGATCAATGCAACTGTTCTTACTCTGTACATCTCAATCTCCCTATTTTTCTCTTCAACTACTTCCTTTGCCAATTTTAATTCGTTATCTAATTTCGTCATGCAATCAGCTCTCTCTTTCTCTATAGCAGTACGAACTGCCATGGCATTTTCTACTTTCATATCTTCCCTTGCTTGCTCTAAAATTGCCTCGTGATTCGCCAGTTCGATAACATCTGTCCGCTGAAAAAATCAAAATAATATCCTTTTGCATCTTTCTCCGTTTTATTTTCAATAATAATAACTTTATCACAAACTGATAGATTATTTACCTCAATCCTTTCTAGACTGGAATCACTGGGACTCCTTTCCATGGTAGAAGCGGCCATTAGTTTGAAGCGACTTCGAATGGTTTCTAACTCCGTCTTATATTCTATCTGGAACTTATCGGTCACCTCTTTCACCATTCTTTCCTGATCGTTGCGAGCAGTGATCAGATTCTCTTCCAATTCTTGAATTCTCTTCTGACATTGTGTCAAGGAATTCGTCAGAGAGGTAATCTCGAGAAATCTCTCATCATTCGTCTTCTTCACAGCCTCTTCCTTATCTATGCGCGCTTGCTCTAATATTCTCGAATAATCCTCAAGTTGCTGGTGTAAACGAGTCTGTAAGTTTCCCCTCTCGATCTGTTCGTCCTCTAGCTTTTGACGCATCGTGGTCACCAACCGTTCGTGCTCCGTCAATTCTGTCTCCTTTTCTAAAAGATTATGCTTGAGTGTGCAGATTTCTTCTTCATGATTCTGTATCAGCTTCTTGACATCCGTTATCTCAAACTCATGCTCAAGCGTCAATTTCTGCTCGCGCTCTTGAAGACGTCGATCGCACTCTTGCGAGTATAAGGATAATGCTACTCGTACGCGTTCCGTCATCTCGACGAGACCGCTCTTGTCCTCGTTAGATCGCTCTCGTAGAATCGCCAATTCGTTCCGAACGAAACTCAATTCATCGCATACAACTACCTTCATAGTCTTCAGAATAGATTGCAACCTTTCCACTTCCTCGCGTGTATTACCGAGATTCTCCTGAAATGTCAATATCAAAGATATTCCAATAAGCACATTCAAAATTTTATAGAATTATTCGCGACTCTGTGTGTGCAAACGCCCACACACAGTCGAGAAAAATTCGTACAAAGGAGAAACATTTCTTCTTTTTTTAATTTTAAACCATTGGAATTGTATAATATGCAAAATTGCAATCATTTTAATTTAAAACGAATTTCTTTGTGAAAGCAATCGTGTAGATGAGTTTAATGGAATTCTGAAGGAATCACGTGTGGATCAAGGAATCGGGAAACGAGTGCGACGCCAGCTATCCTGTAAAAAATCAAGATGCGCGCATATATATATATAT